ATAACAGTAGTAAAATTATACTTTGTTAGACATAGAAAATGTTTCTATATATCAGTACTAAAATGAAGTTATTTTAAAACATTTAAAATTCTTGTAATTTTTGCTATCAGTAGTAAAAGACAGTTTTAGTCAGACAAAATGTGTTAAATTCTCAAATGCCTAGGTGTCACTAGGTGGAAGACAATTCTGTCAGATAAAACCATTTTAATTCTTTGATTTTAGTACCAGTTGTAAAAGACCCTTTCCATTCAGCCCCTACGTTTTAAAATGTATTTAAGTAGTAAAAGTAAATTGCACTCAGACATTCCTAATCTTATAGAAGTAATTGTAAAATTCAAGTTTATATTTCATTTTTAATCAGTCAAATTTTACTGAGTCAAGTAACCGATTATTAAAATCAAATAATTTTTTTTCTTACAATAGGAGAAAATTGAAATTATCTTTTATTAAAAAAAAAAAAAATTATCTTTGTTTCAAAGAAATTTTTTTATTTAATTAAAATAAATTTTTCTCTGTACCCTATGACCTGTACCTACCTTGATTCTACTATTGATTTTAAAGCTTTTATTTAAAGAAAATTCCTTTGAATCAAAAAATTAAGAAACTAAGAAATTTTTTTTTGTTTCAAAGAAAATTTTATTTTGAATGAAAGAGAAGCAACACTGAAAATTATATGGTATTAAAATAAGCTGCAACGTTCCTCCGATGTAGGGAACGTAACGTAACGTAGCGTAATGTAATCCGTTTTTTTTTTTTTTTGATCGTTTCATATTTAAATTGTTCTCGTCGCACATCCTTATTGTAAAATCGTTTACGTCGAACTTTTTTTTGTAATCGCGTTGTAAGTAAGCAATTTTTAGGTTATGTCGTCCTTTTTTTTGTGTTATTGTTCGAATTGTGTCTGTAATTTTAATGTAATATCGTTGTATAAAAACGAACCCTGATCCGGCGAGCTAATTCAACACTTATTTTTGTCTTTACATTCATTACAAACGCTTATTTTAATGTCTTTTAATTTTCTGTGAAGTTTAAAAAATTGGTTTCTTTAAATCAAAAAAATCTTTTCTTTGGATGTACATATCTTTCTTTCACTTTCTTGTCTTATGTTCGTTGCATCGACTTGAAGGGTCGGTTATATATGTGGAGAGTGCAGACTAAATAATGGCTGCTCGGATATATATATATAAAAAGAGAGTGAGAGAGAGAGAGAGAGAGAGAGAGAGAGAGAGAGAGAGAGAGAGAGAGAGAGAGAGAGAGAGAGAGAGAGAGAGAGAGAGAGAGAGAGAGAGAGAAGGTTGCCTATTGGGATTGGTGAAGTTCATTTCTTCTATTTCTGCAAGATATCTTATTTCGATCTATCGAACGAATCCGGGAAAACTCAAGTTTATAGGATGAACTGTCCTTGAAGGAGGAACTAGAGATGGACGTTCTCTGAGACATACATAGCGCACAAGAGATGGTTTGGAAGATTGGCCAGTCGAGTTTTTCGAAGGAGCAATAAAAAAAAAACCTTCCTTTTTTTCACGATTACGACAAAAAAAATTTCATCTAATATTTTTCCTTTTTTCATCATTTTTAATTTTACCAAATTTTTTTTTTCCAAAGTAATTTCAAAAAAAAAAAAAAAAAATTCCAAGGATTAAGTAAAAATTATTTTTACTTTTTTGGTATTAATAATAATAATAATAAATAATAATAGTAGTAGTAATAATTATTTCTCGATATTTTCTATATAAGGGAAATTAAAAATTCAGTTTATGAATTATTTTTCTCGGAATACTTAATTAATTTATTAAATATTTAGTATTATATATCAAATTTCGAGTGATGAAGGAAGCAGTTTAAGAGTTGAGCTCCTGGTGGTCTTAACAGCTTGCCGGTTTTGAAACTGATTTTGCAAGATAGATCGAAACTTTAAAGGAGGGAGGTGTGTATATATATATATATATATTCTCAAGTGTTGTAAGTTGGATTTAACGCGTAATTGCTTTATTAGAAACTCATTTGTGGAGCCACAAATGGAGGTCTTGCCCGAATCACGTCTGAATTAAGCTCCCGCCGTTGAATCGGTGTTAGGGAACATCGGAGTCGTTAATAACTGTGAGAACGATACCCCCGAGGGCTACCTTCTCGGTTTTCTTAATCTCCTCAAAGCCATTCTCATTCGAAAATTCCAAATGTCCAACAAATTTTCGTGTCACCGTTCAAATACTTAAAATAATTCTCCACAAAAGGAAAAAAAAAAAACTATCACACGCGATAAGAATAGAAAAATAGTTTATAAAAAAAAATTGACTATTATCACATAAATAACAAAAAAATTTTGAAATCAAATAATTAAACTGTATTTGAATAATTTTTGTATTTCAAACAAATACCATTTCAAATAATAATTATTATTATTTAATACAAATAAATATTTATTTGATAATATTTAAATTATTTGAATTAAATAAATTTTTTTCAATACGTCAATTAATATAAGGTTAACAATAATAATGAATAGAATATTGAAAAAAAAATTAAATTTTCCTTATTTTGTTAATGTAATAAATATTAATTATAAATATTTTTTTATTACGCAATAATAAAATTCGATTTTTAATCTAGCTTAATGATTTCTCATTCATTCGATTTAAAAGAAATCATCAATATCATTTATAAACATTCGTTACAAGTTATTTATAATTTTCGTTTTGAAAATCAAATATTTTTAATCAAAATTCAAAATGGTTACACTGAAAATTGAACTCGTTTTCACCGAAATTTTCAAATATAATTGGAATTATTGATTCTACTAAAAAAAAAAAAATTGAATAGAATAAATTAAAATAAAATTTTTAAAAATATTAAATAGAATAAACTAGAATAAAAATATTAAACGGAATAAAATAGAATAAAATATTAAACAGAATAAAATAAAATAAAAATAATAAAATACTAAATAGAGTAAACTAAAATAACTATAATAAAATATTGAATAAACTAAAAGAAAAACAAAATATAACAAAAAATACAGTAAAAAATAAAATAAATTATTCACTCTTGAAAAAATAAAATATATAAAATAAAGTAAAACAAAAAATAAATAATTAATAATTATATTAATAATAATATTAACCAATAATTTAAAAAAAAAACAATAATGAAAAAGCAATATAAATTTATTTTCACAAATATATTATGAAAAAAAATTTATTACAATTTTCTATATACGAAAGTTAAACTTGGGTTTTTAATATTCAAAATGTGATGGTATTGTCGAGTGGGGCTTTGAGAAAAAACACCGATTCGTTGTGTGTATGTTTACACTCTATTGGTCATAGTGATGAATTGCTTTGGTTCCCTTCGTTTAGTGCGCGGTTGAAACAAAAAAAAAAAAAAAAAAAAAAAAAAGAAAAAATCAATCCACAACTTTAACCGCTTTTAAATTGTACAATTAATCGAGGCTGACGCCAGCTCTTCACATCCCTCTGGTTATACGCTTTTTCCATTTGTGCCGTCAATACCACTCTGTTTGGAATTAAGTGTATGCCGTCCATACAATTCAATATTCAAAGCCCTGGAGCCACACAAAGGTTCACAAACTTTTCTGGACAGTTACTGTATGTCTCTCTCTCTCTCTCTCTCTCTCTCTCTCTCTCTCTCTCTCTCTCTCTCTCTCTCCCCTCTCTCTCTCTTTCTCTATATATATATATATACAGGTATATTCAAACGCAGTTATAAATTTTACGATTTACTTCCCCTCCATGTTCTACCAATCAATCACATCATCATTGTTTACTGATAAATTTCAATCAACGCGTTGAATCACTTTCTACTACAATTTGCCCTTTTTAATTCGTGTATAAACAATTTTTCTTTTATTCAAATTAGGTTTTTACTTTTGGCATTTATTTTTTCCCAAATAGTTCTTTGAACATTTTTTATTTCTTTTAGAATAATAATAATTTTTTTGAAATATTTTTCTCAAAGAATTCTCAATTTTTTTTTTCTAACGATACTTAAAAAAATAATTATTGATATAGTGATTAATTATCAATAACTTATTTTTAAAAACAAGTATCAAAACAACCAAAAAATTTTTCAAAAAAATTTAAATTGAATTGTTATTTTAATTAATTTCAAAATTTTCTTTAAATAATTTTTTTTTGATATTGAAAAATAAATTTTGTTTATTTTTATTTTTTAAATTTCTTATTTTGCACATAAAGTCTTAAAAAAATATATTATGTAGAAAATAATAAATTAAAATTTTTTTTATGTATTAACAAATTAATAAAAATAAATTTTATATAAAAAAATAAAAATTTGCAATGTTCAAAGTAACAAACAATAAAAAATGTTAAGCAAAAAAAAAAAATTATAAATAATTCAAATAACAAAAGTAAAAATGTAAGAATAAAAATATTTATCAACTGAATTAAACTTCGTTTTTTTTGTCGTTGAAATAAATTTTGTTTCGATAATTTCTCTTTTATGAATAATTTCAATGACGGTATTTAAAAAATTTACATTTTAGCGAAAAACATTTTTTTTTTTTTCACAAGCATTAGCTTTTTAATGTACCCAGGAAAATTTGCCAATTTAAAAAATGTAAAATTTACTTTTCCCTTATAAATTTGTGTATTTTGACGGTGAACGTTTAATAATTTGTCTGTTGCGAGTGCATTCGAATGTTTCACATGCAAGGCACTTTCCGACTCAAAAGTGATTAGATAGTTTGAAAGCTTTGCCCGTTGTAAAACTTCTATTCAGTGCGCTTCATGTTTCACGTTTGATTTTGACTTTGACACTTATGAACGTGAGTAATATTTTTTCATCATTATATGAACGTTTAAAAAGTTTTTTTCTCCCTCCTTCTCGCAGATAGGTAAAAAATTGTGCTCTCAGTAAAGTTTAACAAAAAAAAAAAAAAAACTTTTCAGCACAATATTATGAAATATCATGTGGGAATTTGAAAAATTAATGTAAAGTACAATTTTTGTTATGAAACTCACCTTGACGCGAAGCAGATGTTGCAGATTTTGTGATTCACTAATGTTTGGAGGAGGATTATCCGTCCCCAGACGGACGGCCGCAATCACGTTTTCCTTAGTTACATTGTACAAGAAAAGAGTACATACAGTCTGAAAAAAATGAAAGTTAATATTTCATTTCTGTTTTTAATTATATATAATTTTTTTTTTTTTTTTTTTAGTATTTTCGTCATCTAAATATTATTTATATTTCTTTTTTGATTAAAAAGGAGTATATTTTGTTTTAAAATCAATTTTTTTTAAATATTAAAAAAAATCATTTTCACTTTATTTAAAAATTGTAAATTAAAAACAATGTTACCTTTTGTTTCAAAATGAATTTTTTTTCATTTTAACTTTATTAAATTATGTTGAGAATTTTATTATTCTCATTTAACGGTAAAAAAAAATTCGTTTTTAGATTTTATTTATTACTCTATTATTTATTTACATGTAAACGGGCTTACAAAAAAAATATTTATTTCCTATTATTTAAAATATTTATTTTAATTTGGTTTTTAATTTATATAATCATTTATTTATTTCCTATTATTCTTTAGCAAATTTATTATGAATTATTTATATTATTAAATTGTGTGTAAACTTTTTTTTTAAAGAAATATTTTCTCAAGAATTATTCTGAATAAAAAAAATTTTTTTTGTATTGCATTTTATTTTATTTTTTATGTATTTTTATTAAAAGAAGTATTACACAGTTGAAAAAAACATTAAAATTAACCTTTGGAGAGTATTTAATTTTCGTCACATTGAAATTTTTATAAATAATCTCACCTGATTATTTACTTCCTCTCGCATAAAACTGTCTAGGGAAGACACCGCATCCAGCACGGTGAGATTATTATGAGGCCTTAGCAAGGTTTCATCAGTCTCGCTGTACCCCAGGAACATAAATACTCCATGCGGAATGCTATATGCATCTGGAAAGAGTGATTCATTGTGGAAATTTATATTTAAATTGTATTTTGTTTAATGAAAGTCAAGCTTTGAAAAATGGAACAAACGTTAATTAAGTAAAAAAAAAAAATATGTATAGAATTATATAATAATTATCGATTTTTTTTCATTAAATTAGTGAAATAATGACAATTGAAGTAATTATTATTCGATTTCCGATTTTTTTTCCCCTCTAATTATATGAAATATAATAATTAATATTATATATTTCATTGACACATTTTCTAGAAAATGAAAATTATTTTAAAATTGATTTTTCTCACATTATTATTTCATGAAACATATCAAATAAATTATTCAAAATTCAAACAGAAATAAAATGATATATTTAATTTTCTTTTAACAAGAAAATATATTAATTAAAAATCATTAATAATTATAAAATTAAACCGTAAGAGTAATTTTTTCAAAAATGTAAAAAAAGAAAATAAAAAAAAGAAAACTAAAATAAGAAAGTAGATAAGGAAAAAAGTTTTGATAATTTGCTATTAATTGTAGTTGAAAAAAAAATAATAATAATAATAGAAGAAAATGAATAGAAAAAGTAAATTTTGAAAATTAATTAGTTTAATGATTATCAACTTACCAGGAGAAGGTCGCATACAGATGAAACGACCACTATAGCAAAGACAACGACCTCGGTATGCTTGATAAGCTGGGGCAGCATGGTTATAGTAGGCGAAGTCAGTTTTGCACGGTGAAGATTTAACGCAAATTGTATTACAAATTAGAACTTCTCCTTCTCCACATTGGCAGAGTTCCGAACAATCCGGCTCATCATCGCGATACAACTGGGGCAAATTTTTTTTTTTTTTTTTATTATTATTTTAACTTACATATATATTTTTAACAACAATGTAATTTAAAAACAAAAATTCAAAAACATGAAATAAAAATCTCAAATAATTTATTAAAATAATTTTCAATTAGAATTTCAATTTTTTTTTATTTTATCAATTTAGTTTAATTTATGAGGTATTTTTGATTTTTAAGATTTTTTTAATTTATGAGTAATCTTAATATATTTTAATGTAGCAGTTGCTAAGGAAAAAAAATCCTTAGCAACGGTTGCTATGGAAAAAAAACCTTGGCAACCGTCGCTAAGGAAAAAAATTCTTATATCAACCGTTGCTAAGGAAAAAAATTTTTTGGCAACCGTTGCTAAGGAAAAAACTCCTTAACAACGGTTGCTATGGAAAAAAAATCCTTAGCAACGGTTGCTAAGGAAAAAAAACCTTGGCAACCGTCGCTAAGGAAAAAATTCCTTATAGCAACCGTTTCCAAGGTTTTTTTTCTTGGCAACCGTTACTAAGGAAAAAAATCCTTGACAACTGTCGCTAAGAAAAAAAATCCTTAGTCAAGTAGTTAAAAAGAGCTTTAGTCAGACAAAACAGTTTTGTTTTTCGTAATTTTATAAACAGTAAATAAAAGTTTAAAATAATAAAAATCTAGTTTTAGAGTACAAGTAGTAAAACTGAGTTTAAGTCAGACTTTGAATTTCAAATTGAAGCTAAAAAATATATGAATAAAAAAAAATGTAATGTTAATTTCATTGTTAAAAAATAATAGACTCTGAGAATTGAGTTATTTATATCAAAGTAAAAACAATATTTTCCCAACGGCTTGTATGTGTTTGAAGGGGGTTTTTTTTTTAACGATTGACATGAAATTATAAAGGCATCTTGAAGAATCAATTTGAAGAGTGCGGAAGACGATAGAGGAGGTAAAAAAAAAGTCGGAAGGAAGGAAGGCGGAGGTTGAGTGATAAAGTTGATTTCTCATCGTTATAAACTCTCTTGAATTTGAGAAGAGGTAAACATTACCCCTGAGTCAAGTAGGAATTTTATATATATACATTAGGATAATCGAGTCTCGTCTTTTTCGCCCCCTCTTAAACTTTCTATATATATAAAAAAAACTTACCCTTTTGCCTTTGCCTTCACGAATGTATTGATGTGATTGCCTTCCTCTTTCAACAACGCAGTATCCTGGAAAAGAAGACAAAAAAAAAAACATTTTTATATATGAAAAAAATGTTATATTAAATTTATTTTTTGATTTTTTTTCAAGTGGACATTTTATTGGGCGCAACAAAAAGTGAGATGCCCTATATATATATACCATCGAATTGTTAAACTTACCAACGATCAACGAATAATGACCTTTTACGCTTTTATTTTACGGTTTTAGATATATAAAATGTGCTTCAAGCAAACTACTTTTCTTAAGTATTTTATTTAGTACTACTTTTACTGTAATAGAAATTCATTCAATCAGAATTAATTTTAATTACTGATTATATACAGTGCGAGAATGGATATTATCTTTATTTCCCAATGCAAATTTGGGCTTGGAAAATGTTTTAAAATTAGTCAGAATTTTTTTTTCTATTAACAAGAAATGCAAAGTAGTTACTAATTTAAAATTATAATTTCTGTTTGTTATTCTTTATGGGAATTAAAAAAAAATTGATTCAAATATTCGATTGACTATCAAATAATTATTTACTTGGATATTAATTTTTATTTGAAATAAATAAATTTTATTTGAATTAATAATTTCTGTATTTGAAACAAATACCATTTTATTAAAATAATTACCATTTAATTGAAATAATTATCGCTTAATTAAATAAATAATTATTTAGTACAAATAAATATTTCTTTGATAATAGTCAATTATTTGCATCAAATAATTTTTTTACAGTGTAGTTTCAATTATAGTAATAAATAATGGTTTAAAAAAAATTACCCTAAAATCTTCTTTTATTCATATTACAAAAAAAAATAATATTTTTCTAATAAAAGAAAAAGAAAATTTCTTTTTACAAATTTTGAAAGAAAATTTATTTTTTCAAAAAGAAATAGAAATAAAAATTAAAAAAATACTAAACATAGAATGTAATATTAAAAAAATTAGAAATATTATACAGTATTAGAAAATATCGAGAGAAAAAAATTTGTAATTTAATTAGAAAATTTTTTTTATTTTTTTCGATATAATATTGAAATAATTTTGTGAAAATATTTGTTGCGTGACTTACGAGGTGGTGTCGTGCTGGTCGTCGTGGTACTGGGTGTCGTGACGACACTTGTGGTAGTAAGTTCCACAAATTCTGTTGTTGTTGTTTCGGTGGTGGATTGTCTGGTAGTGATTTCCGGTATCACATTGTCCTCAACTTCCGCCACAATGACAGACTCTGTTGTAGCTGTGACTGCCCGAGTTGTCGACATTGCTGAGATTGTCGTCGTTCTTGGATGAAGATGATGTTTTCTTCTCGCGTGATAATCTTTTTGCGATTCAACTGAAATGATACAATTTTTTTACAGAATTTCATTAATTTTTTTTTAATCAATAATATTTATTTATAAATTAATTTTTTTTTCTAATCAATTTTCTCTCTTTTCTTTAATTTCTACACCTAGAGAAATGATACATAATAAATATTTATAATAATATAATATTTATTATATTAATAATAAATATTTATAATAATATAATATTTATTATATTAATAATAAATATTTCCTCTTGAACCAAATAATTTTTATTTGGGTCAATTAAATTTTATTTACTTTATTTATTTTTTGTTTGTTTTATTTTGGATTTTTTTTCTTTGTAATAAACATGTAACTACTTGAATTAAATAAATTTTATTTTTACATTGCAAATTATTATTATTTTTATTATAAAATATTTTTGTGTATAATAATGAAGTAACAGATTGGTGTCGAATAAATTTTTTTTCTATATTTTTCAAATTATTAAAATATTTTTTTTTCTCAAGAAAAAAGGAATTGATTTAGTAATTATTAAATGATAAAATCGATATTCCTTAAATTAGGAAAATAATCTTTCACAATTCCCCTAATAATTTCTCCGGTGAGAATTTTCTGCGTATAATATATATATACATATATAATTCCCAAACGAGAATTTCTAATTTTGTATTGGGGGAAATAAATTAAAATTTTGATGCATTGCACGTTAGAGAGTATATATATAGAGAGAGAGAAAGGGAGAGGAATAACACACGTATCGAATTGACAAAGCAGTTTAGAATGCACGTAGCGCGCATTCGTTATATAAACGACAAAAGTTGTAGTTTCCCTATGTCGTCGTGTACACGGTGAAAGTTCATTTGCCTATATTTGTTCGTGAGAAATTCTCTCGTCTTCGTCGTCGTCGTCGTTACTGTCGGACAGTCGGGAATAAATAATTTAGTACTCAATTCGCGAAACTAAACATATATATGCCTTTGGACCAGTTACACGAGACTAACAGTCTATCGATTAGTGACGTAAACTGACATTAAGTATTGATAACTAAAACAGTACATAAGAATTCACAATTCGATTGTCTGACTAAAATTGTCTTTTACTACTGAATTAAAAAATTTTAAACGCTTGCTCTGACCGAAGTTTATTTTAACTACTGAGAATATTGGTAAAAGAATTCTCGAATATTTTGTCTGACTAAAATTGTTTTTACTACTTATTTCAAAAATTAAAACGCACAGTCTGACTAAAACTTATTTTAACTACTGATAATATTACTAAAGGAATTCAAGAATATTTTGTCTGACTAAAATTGTTTTTACTACTTATTTCAAAAATTAAAACGCACAGTCTGACTAAAACTTATTTTAACTACTGATAATATTACTAAAGGAATTCAAGAATATTTTGTCTGACTAAAATTGTTTTTTACTACTAATTTCAAAAATTTTAAACACTTGCTCTGACCAAAGATTATTTTAACTACTGAGAATATTAGTAAAAGAATTCTTGAATATTTTGTCTGACTAAAATTGTTTTTACTACTTATTTCAAAAATTAAAACGCACAGTCTGACTAAAACTTATTTTAACTACTGATATAATATTACTAAAGCTAATTGACTTTTACTACTGTTATTGACAGTGCAAGATTTTACGTAAAAAAAATTGTCTGACCAAAGCCAAACTTTGCTACTGATACAAAAGTTCATGAATTAAAAAACAGAAATTGGTTCGTCTGACCAAAAAGGACTTTAACTACTTTTTTTCCCAAGATTTCAGGAATTTAGATAAAATGTTTATTTGGCAAATATTGCCTTTTACTACTGACATTAAAAGTACAAGAATTCACGAAAAAAATTGTCTGACCAAATGGGACTTCTACTACTAGCACGAAAACTATTAAAAAACAGAATTTTGTTCGTCTGACCAAAAAATAACTTTGACTACTTTTTTTCCAAGATTTGAAAATTTTACATAAAATATTTCGTCTGATACACATTGACCTTTGATTTGTTAAACAGAAATTCATAAACAAAATTTTATTAAAAATATTCTTTTACTATTAACTATTTTTTTTTAAAATTGTTTATTGTATATCTTTGGACCACGAACACTAAATTGAAAAATAACGATTAGTGACGTAAACCGTCTTCTAAATATAATTTAGCATTTGAAACTCTAGGACATATTCGCTTTAGACCGTGAATATAACAGATGCGATTTCTTCATATCTAAATGACTTATCAGCTCTGAATAGCACTTGGAGAATTACTGAATTTACTTTCAACTTTTGAAAATCGATAAAGACCCGAGGGCTCTAGAAACATTATCCTCATCTCTCTGTCTCTCTCTCTCTCTCGCTTCTTCTTTTTTTCTTTTGTTATTTTTTTTTTTTTAACTATTTCGCAAGTTTCTGTTTACGATGTAATTACCATCAAATAATGTCCATATCAACCGATCGATTTTGAAAATGAAAATGAATTTTAACTATTGCAACATCCGGTATGTAAATGAATGGTCGACTTTATAGTGCGCTTGCCGAGTGATTAATTTTAATGTTCATTTTCTGCTTTTGTTGTATTTTATACATATATACATTTATTATATATAGACGTCATATAGAGAAAATTCCACAATTCTCTCTATATATATCTTCTCACATATTATAAATAAAACCACCTGGTGCGTGTTTGTCAATATTATATCATTTAGAGATAATATTTTCACTAATTATGTCACATGACAAACTTGATTCGTAATCAGTTTACTCAATTGCATTTTCATCTTTCACTATGAAATTAATATAATTACTTTGCGAATATATTGTGATACACTATTGTTGAAATTTTTGCCAAAAACTTGCAAATTCAATAAAAATAAAAATAGAAAAAGAAAACTTTAATTCTATATTTTATTCTGCTCCCAAAAAAAAAATGACAAAAAAAAATAAGTATAATATCAAATTAATTACAATTAGAAAAAAATTATAATTAAAATTATAATTGTTTAAATTTTTTACAAAATTTGCATAATTTAATAAAAATTTAATAAGAAAATAAAATATTTTTTATACTTTTTTCTTGTCCAAAAAAAAATTTTTATTTCTTGTAAATTCATTACAAGTAGTAAAAGTCAATATTGGATTAGATTTAATTTTTCTTTTGTGGAAAAAAATTGAAAAATCAAAAAACCAATTTCAATTGAAATTCAAAACGGACAAAAATTGTTTCTACTACTGTAAAAAAAATTGAAATAAAAAAAACTTTGACTGAAATTGACATTAACTATTGATAAATTACAATACAAGAAATCACAAATTTTGTCTAGCTAAAACTGACTTTCACTACTGTTATAAAAAATTTATAAAATAAAAAACAAATTCTGATTTGTAAAAACTTTTGTGATTACTGATACTGTCAGTACTAAAATATTATAGTTTAGATTTAAATTTTGAAGAAAAATTTGAAAAATCAAAAACCAATTTCGATTGAAATTCAAAACTTTGAGAGGAAAAAAATTTTTTTTTTTTTTTCATCATCAAAATGAAAAATTGAGAAACTTTTTTTTTTTCTTTATTGTCAGCTATCACTTGGTGAAGCGCTTGTTATATGAAAAATTGCATTGCGATGATGCAAAAGACTTTGCAACTTTTCTTCAAACCTTGTGCAGCGTCTTATGCAAGCGTATAAACCGCAATGCGCACCTGCTCGACATTGCAGGCATTTTTCGAACGTCTCGCTGACACGTTACTGATCTCATTTTTCAATTTGAAAATTTAAATAAATAATCCTCGTTATTCAATGGTGTAACTCTATCACATTTTGTTCATCAGTGAAAGTGGTTTTTTTTTCAAAATAATCTCTCTATGTTATTAAACGTATTTTTAAAATTTTTTATATAATTTTCTTCAGAATAAATACTGGATAAATTAATTTATTAAATTGTCATAGTATTTTTTTTTTTTTGAAGAAAATTCTTATATTTTATATTTAAATATTTCAAATATTTTTAAATATTTATATTAAAAAATTTAAAAAAGAAAATTTAAAAAAAAAATAATATTTAGTTTTTAGTACATCCAGTGATACAATTTGAGAATAAATAATTTTCATTAGAAAAAAAAGTGGATAAATACATTTTTTTAAATCATTATAATATTTTCCCTGGAGAAAATTATTTGTTCTCATATTTTTATTGAAATATTTCAAATTTTTTTTTTATTCTGTTTTTATTTAAATGAATAAAATATAAAAAATATTACAGGATCTTCTTTTACTTTTTGTTTTATTTTATATTAATAAAGGAAAGTTTATTTTTTATTTATTTAACTTAAGGTATTAGTCGCGTAAAATCATTTTCGTCAGATATTTTTTAAATTTTGCATGAGTGTTTCTGACATAATTATCTACAAAATAAGACCATTCCCATCGATTTTGACCGTTCCTAAGCTTTAAAATATCATTTCAAAGTTGATACTTTTTACATGGACGGAGCACCTAATGCATGTAAGGAATTTGCTTTATAATTATTTAAATAAAAACCAGTCGTCAGATTTTAAAATAAAACTACCACATAATACATTCTCATGAAACGAATGCATACAAAAAAACTGAAATTTTTTGACCGTACCAAACTATAAATATATTAGGAGAAAGTTAACAAAATTTTAAATTATATGAAGTTCCACTGCTGGAAAGCAGTACACTTGGCAACGCTGTAGCGCGCAAATGCATACAAAATTCAAAATCATGCAAAGTACACAGTAAGAAAGTAAGAATATCTCATAGAGTAGAATAAAAAAATAATATATTTAAAATTTCACAACATAGATTAGTATTAAATATTTCTCAATTTTTTAAATTAAATCATATATTTTAAGAAAAATAAGAATGAGAAACGTTAAATTGGTTGGTTATATTTCAACAGTTAAGAAATAAAAACATTTTTTGATGAAATATTTATTTTTTACTTTATAAACCAATTTATAATACATTATTGATGTAAATATTAATTATAAATAATTAAAAATTAGTTTTCAAAGAAGCATACTTGAATTTTTTTTAATAATATTCACATCTTTAATTATTAATTATTCTTAGTAAGTCTCATACTTTTAAAAAGTTTAAGCATTTATATACATAATTATTAATCATAAATAATTCAAAAATAGCTTTTAAAGAAGCTAAACACTTTTTGTGACTCCAACATTCAGTAGCACTGGTACATTCAGATTGCGACGTTGCCGCGATCAAAACTTTAGTTCTACACGTGCGAGAACGCGGCGCTCTGAGTGAAACTTACCTGTACCCTTCAAAAAGTTTGACTCAGAACTATACCTCTTGCTAAGCACAGACTGAGTCAGACTCAAGACAAACTTTTGGTTAGAGCCGGCGCGCGACTAATACCTTAACGGGCCAATTCAAGACAAGTTGAATGAAGAAAACATAAATTAAACATTATTTAAAAAATTTGTCATTTTTAAATAATGTTTAATTAATATTTTTTTTATATTTTTTCGTTTCTAATAGTAAATGTTAATTGATATTTTATTCATTTTTCATTATCCTAGAGTTTATTTTTATTTTCTTAATAAAAAAAAAAGGAATTAATAAAAATAAAATTTGTACTCACCCACGCAAGGGTTAACCCAAAGTAGCCTCTGCCAACCCACGCAATCGTAAATTTGAGACAAGTCGGTGCCTTTACATGCACAAGTGGTCCTTAATTCCGTGCCTAGAATGCCCAGTAAAGCTTCTCTACATACCGACGTCGATCCTGCACATTTTTTAGTAACACTATCCACAGCACAGCTTTGTTCATAAAATTCTAATTTAGACCTACACAAAAAACAAAATTATATTCACATTTTACCATCCTGAAAGTTATTATTCAAATAATTTTTTAATTCATCTTTTTTTTAAAAAAAAAATGTATGTAAATATAAATTAAGTACTAATTAGCAAAATTAAACGCGCGCAAGCGCGTCAAATTGAGTATTTAATTGTTTGTTATAAAGAAATTAAAGATTAATATTATCAATAATAATTTAATTTATTAGAATATTATTACATATTCAATAATAATAATAATGAAAATTATATGTTTACAGGCCTCGGATTATACGACTTTTTCAGACTTTTTTCAAAAATACGACTTTTATCGACTTATTTTAATAAAATGCGACTTTCTTTTAACATTTGAAAAAAAATGTAAATAAAATACATTTTTTTAGTATAAAATGTAGATCTTCTTCAGATCTTCTTCAATTCAATTATTTAACAAATTTTGAACTAAATTAATTATTTTTAATAATTTTAATGAAATACATCACAAATTCAATTACCGTGGATGTCCCAGTTACCGTCCACCTAAGACCTAGTTTCCGTCCAGTTTAATTTTCAAAATAACATTTATAAAAAAATTATTTTCTTTTATTTGTTTACTTAAACTAATAAGTCGATTGCGTGCCAAAAGGAATAAATTATTGTTAAAAAATAATTTAAATTACTATACGAGATATTTGTAAAATGGACGGAAACTGGGACATGGACGGTAACTGGTATATCCACGGTATATCAAAATTATTTTTCAATTAAAATTTTTATGAAATTTAACAATTGTTTATAATTTAAAAAAAAAATATCACAATAAAATTAAATTATTTTTTAAAAATTTCAATTCAAAATAAACTAAAATTCAATTATTACAAGAAATTTTAATTCAAAATCAATTAAAATTCAATAATTTTCGAAAATTTTCAATTTAAAATTTAATTATTTACCAAGTTTTCAATTTAAAATGAAATAAAATTCAATTATTTTCTAAAATTTCTATTCAAAATTAATTATCCAAATTTTCAATCAAAAATGAACTTAAATTAAATTATTATCTAAAATATCAATTAAAATTCAATTATTTCCCAAAATTTTCAATTCATTTATTTTCCAAATTTAAAATCAAATTAAATTTAATTATTCTCCAAAATTTGAATTCAAAATTAATTGAATTTTCAATAATTTGAATTTAAAAGCATCTAAATTTTAATTATTTCTAAAATTTTCGATCGAAAAATTTTTTTTTTTAATTTAATAATTTCAATTATAACTCTAAGGAAATTTCAAAAATCACAATTTTAAATCTTTGAAAAATCAATTAAATTTAAAAAATGTTTTCCAAAAATTGTTTGATAAATTATTTTTAGTTCTGTAAAATTTAATAATTGTTTGAAAATTAACAATATCTTTTGAAATTTAATTATTTCTAAAAATTTCAACTTTAACCCTTCGAAAAGGATTATTATTAAAAAAAAAAATTTTATTTAAAAATCTGTAAAATATTTTTGTTAAAATAAAAAAATTTTTTTTTTTTTTAATATAAATCGACTAAAACGACATTTTTGTGTCTTTAAGTTGATTCGAGGCCTGTGATTTTATAATTAATATTTAATAGGTATTCGTTGGCCCCTGGTACCTTAAAAATTAATTTTTAAAAATTCAGCTTTGAATTTTCGAATTTGGAATTTTAAAGAAACTTATTCCGAAATTTGGAAACACAATTAGACAACTTTGGCAAAAATGAGAAAAAGAATTGTCAAAATTTGACACGTCATAAGATTACTATTCAAAAAAAAAAAACACGTGAAATCAGAAAAGGCCAACTTCAAGTTAGGACAGAAGGACAGACCAAGCATTTTATTATTATATAATTATAAATTTATAATTCATTTGGTATTTATTGACTCAATTTAAAAAAAAAAGTACTCTGAAAAAAAAATTTATTTGATTCAAATACCGGTGTATTTGGTTATTATCAAATAAATATTTACTTGAATCAAATATTTCTTATTTGAATCAAATATTTCAGTATTTGAAGCAAATACAATTTATTTGATTCAAATAAGAAATATTTGATTCAAGTAAATATTTATTTGATAATAACCAAATACACCGGTATTTGAATCAAATAAATTTTTTTTTCAGCGTAATATAAAAAAAAAATTCTATTTTCTAAAACTAAAAGCAAAAATTTTTTATTTTTATTGTCTGACACAAATTGACTTTAACCACTGATACCACTTAAGATATATGGGTCAATCAATTAAAAAAATTGACTCTAATTTTTTCAAATTAACCTAAGATTATATCAATGTAAGAAACGTTTTAAAAAAAATTTAATTAAATCGTTATATTGATGAGTAAAGTGTAACTTGATTATATCACTTGAAGCGAGCGCGATCTTATACGCCTTTAAAAACGTATAAAGAATGTGAATTAATTTTGAGCTTCAATATCGAATTCCTCGTCAGTCATTCTTATACGTTCGTTTATCACGGGTCTATTTTTAGGAGGACAGTAAAATCGATATTTATTCTCCCCTAAAGTGAAAACAAATTAGTTCTAACCTGTTAAAGTTATAATCATTTCCATTTTACTCTCTAATTGTACTAATTTAACTTAAATGGGTTAGTGAGAGAGAAAAAAAAAATTTAAATCCTCGTATTTTATAAAAGATTTGAAAAAAAACGATTATACACAATATAAAAGCGACACTTCTTATAATAGACGATTTAATTAAATTAAAAAAAAAAAAAAAAAAGTATATTTACTGAATAAACTGAATTTTGTTGATGATTCTTTTTCAAAATCAACTCTTTCAAAGTGAAGGGAATTAAAAATAGTTTTATTTATTTCCTTTGCGACATTCGCAAATAATTAAACTGTACGTTTTCAAAAGGAATAAGTTTTTTCGTTTATATATATATGGTATGAGAAAAGTTTTTATTCCTTTCTGCATTTTCATTGTATGTATATGTATTATATATAGTTTAAACGAACTTATTTTTGTATTGCCTACCTGCAACTTCTCTCGTCTCTACAAAGTTCCGCTAAACTGTGACAAGTTGGTATTTCTGGTCCTTCCGGACGCTGAGCACACTGTGGATGCATTTTCTCTTTTGCCACCGTGCAATCGTTTCTCTTCTCGTCGTTTGTTCTTCAAAAAAAAAAAAAAAAATAGCTCATTTTTTATTAATAATAAAACACAAGACAGTGGTAAAATAAAATAATAGTAAATTTTTTTTCTTCAAAGCATATTTTTTCTTCTCTTTTTTTTCCGGAAATAATTTTATCGAACTTTCTCATTATTATTATTATTTTTGTTTTAATATAAAATTCGATTAAAAAATTCCACAATTTAATGAAAATTTTATTTGGAAAAACTTTATTAAATTTTTCATTTTTTTTTGCTTCGATTTTCTTTTTATTGGTAGAGAGAAAATTTTCTTTCTTTACTATTTTAAAATGTATATATATTTAAAAAAGAAAATTATTTTAGAAAATGTAGATTACCCGCAGTTATAATTTTCGAAAAATCGATTTTTTCCCCAAGTTTTGATAAAATCTTATTTCTTTATTAAAATTTTGCTTATTTTAATCCATTTTGGTATTAAAATAAGCAAAATTGGATTAAAATAATAAGCGTTGCAGCTTATTTTAATACCTTATAATTTTCTGTGTTAAGAACTAGAAAAATAATTATTAAAAAAATAACTATAACTGAGCAAGTTTTAATTATTGTTTTTATAAATATAAATAAAAAAAAAAATTGAAAGAACATCGATTTTTTTGCTTTGACTGCGACCTCTTAAGATATATATTTTGATTGATTTCTTGTCAATTAAATAAAAAAAAAAAACCAACAATAAATGTCAAGAATGGAAAATATGTCAATTTAGCTAAAAGGGAAAATTGAAAATAAATCAAATATGACAATTTACTCTATTCTAGTATATTTTTAATAATTTAAAGATTTTTAAACATTTAAAGTCAATCTTTTTTTTTGGGACATTTTAATCGAATTTTATTAAATCACAAATTTATTTCTCAATTAAGAAATCGAAACAAAAAATATATTGCAAAAATATTTATCAAATATAAAAAAAAAATGATTCAGATTTAAAAAATAAAAAAATTGGAAAATGTGAGTGCACGTTTTAAGAATTCTTTATAAATTGCTTCATTTAAAAGAAGATATTATTGAGTTCAACGAGCATTAAACAAGTGGGATACCGGTATTTTATTTTGTCGAAACAAAACAGGATTCTCTCGTTCAATCTCTATTCTACAAACGCAGTGAGGAAATCAGAAAAAAAAGAAGAGAAGAAGAACTTAGAGAGGAGGCAAAAAAAAAAACAGAATAAGAAAAGAAACTATGAGAAAGAAGCAAGTAACTAAAGGAATGAACGTAGAGAAAGAAAATAAAAAAGAAGAAAAAGAAGAAGAAGAAGAAGAAAGTAAGGGAATCAGAAAAACAAAATAGGATGAAGTTTCTCGTATTGTTTTCAGAAAGCTACTTAAAAAGTTAAAACAGCTTCATTACAGGAATTTTTCTTTTTTTTTTTAAATGACAGAATAATTATCTGTCAAACTATTAAAAAATTAAAATAAGTAGATGAATGTTTCAAAAATGAATTTAATATTTGTATAATTTTTTAAATACTAAGAACACAAATTTAATACAATATTTTATAATTTTTTGAATATAAATAAAATGAAAATAAAAATAAATGTTAAATATGAATAAAAATAAAAAATACAAAACATTTTTTGTAATAAAAAAATTGAGTACTCACTTGCAGAGACAAAATGCGATTTCCACCGAGTGTTTATGACTCGCCGACTTGTAAAAATACTGAAGCGCATCCATACATTCGTTTCTGGCGCACGTTGCCTGATCGCAATGATTCAAAACAGGCTGAAGTAATGCCCTACAATCTGGGTCGTTCCTGAAAGAAATAGTCCTCGTTAACTATGCAAATGTCTTTTTATTCGAAATAATATTTCCGATTGTACTTTATCATTTATTTCACAGTTTAATTAAAAAAAAAAAAAAAAAAAAAAAATTGAGAAATGGAGCAAAAAAAAACACCTCTTATATAATTTAAGACAGAGATGAGAGTAAAAAAAAAAAATAAACTCACTTGCAAGACGCATAAGCGTGATGGCACGTGCTGGTTAGAATCACCTTCGTCGGCTGAGGTATTATTCTTTCAGAGTCAGGCAACGAAGACGGTATCGCCAGTCCGGCTGAAAAATAAAAAAAAAAAAAAAAAAAGATATAGATATTTATAGCTTTCTCTTACGATACTCGCAATGATATTTCAAGAAGGATCTAAAATATAGAACACCATTTTCTATCTCTCGAAAAGATGCTTCTTCAAGGAATCAATATATTTTTATTTCGCATGATACAACTTTTTTATTTCAAATAATTTATCAGTTTATTTATATATTTCTTTTTTTATGCGCACAATTATAGTGAAAAAAAACAATTCGTCAAATAATTAAAATACAAAAAAAAATAATTGTTTAAAATAATTTAATTTATATGAAAATTTTTAAATATTTCCTGAAATAAATATTTCAATAACAAAAGAAAAGAAAGAGTTCTCGATTATTGAAAAAATCACTTGACCTTTTTGTATATATATATATATAATGATCTGTAAAAATGCTCTCGTTCAAGGAGATAATAGTGTATATATAATCATCATATGACGAGGCATTTTCTTGTTTTAAAATAAAAAGTTTTACCGCAAATTTGCGTTTTTTTTTTTTTTTTTTTTCACTTTCTGTCAAGTGTGTGAAAGGTCGACCTGGTTCGCCATGAGGATCGTTAAAGGAGAGACATTGGAAGTAAAGTGTTGTCCCGATGACGAACGATCACCACACATATACACAATGTAAGTGATAACCTTCGCGAGAGACAAATGATGGAATTGTTCGCGAAAAAGGGGTTACACGTTAATGATGAGAAGGGTCGAATATCGTCTTTTTGTCTTACCCTCCTTCTCAGGAGTCTCAACAGAATTAGCTCGCTAACATTTTGTGCAGTGAAAAAGAAAAAAAAAAAAAATTACCACCACAATTTTTGCCAAAGCAATTTGCCGTTCTCATTTCTTGTGAAATTTTATTTATCATACTTTTTTAATCAATTCTTTTTTCTCTTTTATAATTAGAGAATTAAATCTCGGAATTAATTGAAAATTTTATCGCGAATCATGAAAAAATGTTAATAAATGTAAAAAAATTATATATAATATTTTATACAATTGTGACATAAGGGGATAAATATTTTTAATCAAATTATTTTTAATAATTATGAGAAATATAATTTTATACAAAAAATATTTAATAGTAATTAATTTATAATTTTAATTTGAAAATTATTTTCTCACAATAATAATTGCAGTTAAAATAAAACAGTTTTTTTTTACCTTTATAGATATTTCATTTAACCTAATGTAAAAATTCAATTGATAAAAATTTCCTTTTATATTGTATTATTTCTCAATATATAATGTTTTTTCTGTTTTTTTTTTTTTTTTTTTTTTTTTGAACAGATGTCCAATATTTTTCCTATATATACAATGCTTTCCTATGTGATGAGATATTTTTGAAAAGAAAAATTTTGAGTATACAAGGGCGAAACTTTGAAAAATTCCTCTATATGCTGAAAGAAGGCAATTGTGTCGTTGAATACGTGAGCTCATAACAGGCGAAATCGACTCGATATCGCAAAAACCTTATAGACGTGGATAAATGGATTGACTTTAAAGTCGCGAGAAAAATTCTTTATATATGTGTTCCAACGTAATTCTTCACATATATATTTCGAAATCGAACATATTTAATAATAAAGAAAATAATAAACAAAATACTAAACAAAATAATAAAGAAAATAAAGAAAATAGAGAAAATAATAAAGAAAATAAAGAAAATATAATAAAGAAAAACAATAAAAAAAAATCGACAAAAAAATAAACAAAAAAATTATTTTAAAAATAATAAAAGGTAAACAAATAATAAAAAATTATTAATTAAATGAATAACAAAAAATAATTAATAAGTAAAAATTAAAAAAATATAAAAATTAAACAAATAATAAATAATAATAAAACTTAATAAAACTTAATAAATAAGTAAATTAGACCTGTGCAATAGAATAAGAATAATCAATTTTTTTCGATTTTTTTTAGATAGAATGTTTTCCTGGAAAATGAAAAAATCCCTTTCAAAGTCAAATAAAATTAATCAGCATGTTTCTATTATTTTTTTACCTTAAAACAACACGTATTACCTTCAAAAAAACCTACCTAAATTGCAATAGAATAAGAATAGTCAATTTTTTTTCGATTTTTTTAGATAGAATGTTTTCCTGGAAAATGAAAAAATCCCTTTCAAAGTCAAATAAAATTAATCAGAATGTTTCTATTATTTTTTTACCTTAAAAAATTACGTATTACCTTCAAAAAAACCTACCAATTGAACCTAAATTGCAATAGAATAAGAATAATCAATTTTTTTCGATTTTTTTAAATAGAATGTTTTCCTGGAAAATGAAAAAATCTAGACTTGGGCAAAATAAATCGAACCGAACTGTTCGAATTTTTACGCCGAGTTCGAATGTCGAAAATTCGACATTCGAGTTAGCCCAGTTCGAATGTCGAAAGTTCGAAATTCGAGTCAGGGTCATTAAAAACCGAACAAAATTCGATTTGATTCGAACATTGCACAGCTCTTAAATAAATAAATAAATAATGAATAACTAAACAAATAATATAAAATAAAAATACTTTTTATTAAAAATAATAAATAGTAGGTAAACAAATAATAAAAAAATTATTTTTATTAAAAAACTATAAAGTAAAAATAAATAAAAAAAAGAAAATGAAATCAGGAAGCAAAGACGAAGGGATGTAATAATTGTCTAAATAGGGCCAGTTCGCAAACGACACGTTGTCAAGTAGACGATTTATCATTTATTTGTACCCGGGAGAGCATGGAAAACTAGGTCTCGCGCAATGTAAACAGGCGTCGCGCAGGTTCAGTCTACACACACACACACACCCTGGAAATGTTTAACTTTACCAATGTCAATTTACCTCCGGGGAAAGAACAAGATAAGAGGGGAAACTAGAAAGTATGACATAAAAAAGAATAACCGCGTCTTTTGTCGACGCACCATCATTGACAAGAGAGGAAAAACTACCTGGAGAAAAACAGACAGACGGAGCATAACATTTTCCCTCTGTTTCTCAAAACTTTTCTTAGCTGAGAAATTATTATCGAGGTTATATCTTTCTGATGTTTACTTTTTCCCTCATGGCTTGTACATACACACATATATATAAGAGGAAAAAGATGCTTTAGCTTTAATATATAGAGAGATAAATTTCAAACTGATTTATTTCCTATATAGTGAATTTTTTTTCCTTTGCTTCGATATTTTAATCAGTTGAATTTTTATATAAACGAAAGAAAAATATTTCAACAAGGTTTGGTAAATCAGTTTGTTATAAATAATAAAAACTATGTTAGTATTATTGTAATGGGGAAAAAATGCATTTAAATTTACTCGACTGATTTTTTTTTTTTTTTTTTCTATGACCCACTTTTCGTTGAATCAAAATAAACTCTCTTGCCAGGTGCTCGCAATGAATAAATAACTTTTCTTTGATGTCATGGTAAAACTTGAAAAATATAATTCATGAATGTAAATTTAATTTGATTGTTGACATCGGAAAAAGTGACTTTAAATATAATATATTTAAAAAAAATTTTTTTTATATATCGATATTTTTAATAATTTTTTCAAATTTATAAAACTAATTCCTATTATTTAATTTATATTTTTACACGGAAAAAAAGATTTACCTCAAACAGCGAAAGGTTTCACTATAGTAGCAACAGTTTTACTTGTTCCAATTAAATCTTTAACTATTCTAGTGAAACTTTTCGCTGTTTCAGGTAAATAATTTTTTCAATGTAATTTATATTTTTAAATTTATATTTTTAATTTCACTCTAGTTAAATGTTTTTATAAAATATATTTTGAAACAATAATTATAGTTGACAGTAAAAAAAAAAAAGTGATTGCAAATTTTTTATCACTTCTTGACATATGTAAAAAAGTTAAAGAGTTTCTGGTGGATGGTAAAAAGAAGGTTCGTTTGTCTTAATAAAGTGGAAATCATCCTCCCTCTCGACGGAGACTTACGTCTAGTCATCCTCTAAGGTAGCTTTTCTTTCAGAGCTTTACTTTCGCTTCTATATAAAAAAACAAAAAAAAAAAAAAAAAACTTGAGCAATATCGGTCAAGACTATTGAATTTTTATCTAAAACTATATTTTTTGATATACTTTCTTTCAATTGTTTATTCTAAAAATAAAAATTTTCTAATTTAAAATAACGTTTATAAGTTCCAAAAATTAAAAGTTAAAAAAAAATAATAAAAACAAAATAGAACTTTGAAAAAAAAATACAAAAAAATAAACAAAACAATTGAGTTATAAATAAACAATATAAAAAAAGACTGACAATAATAACAAAAAAATAAATAATTTTTTAATAACTATATAAAAGTTTTTACAAAAAAAAATGAAAGAATGGAAACGTAATTAATTTAGTTTAATTGTAATCCCCTGACTTTTCCAATATCATAAAAGTTTTGAGCACAAAACCATAAAACATTGTAGTTTCATAGTTCATAAATAACGTAGAGTTTTAAAATCAGTAGTGCTAGACGTTTATGGTCAGCCATATGATGCGATATGTAACGACGATATCAATAGAGCAATAAAAAATGCATCAATTAAAATCTGTCAACAGTGATTCTAAATGTAACTTATTGTTGTAAGATATTTTTACAAATCCACGTGAAAAAAAATATATTTGAAATTAAAAAAAAAAAAAAAAAAAAAATCAAAGAAAACTGTTTTGTTGAATAAGAAAAAAATAATTCTCAAAAATCTTACAATATAAATATAAAATAAGTGTTCAAATTATTATTATTTTTCAAATAAACTTTTCTCATGTTCAACAATAGAAAAATTGAGAAAAACTTTTCTCATTTATTACACGCGATTTGATTTGTATTTAAAAAGAAATTTTTTTTTCAAACGTATATCTATATATCTTGAAGACACTTTATATATGTATATACTGGACAGAGGGGCCAATTACTGTAAGTTCAGATTGTCTCAGTGTTGTCTCGCAACAACTTGAGAGAATCTTCGCCTTGCTTT